AATTTGGCTCAGTTTCACAATCCAAGTGATTAGCTTTTGAAAATCATGTACTGAGGCCATAAAATAGGCTCATAAAGTGTTCATACAAGCAAGGATTTTCTGAGCATATGCATTTGGTTAAGTTAGCTATACAGTGAAACAGAATACTGCAAAATGTACAGTGGCTCACTGCATAGTAAACCAGATCTCTTGATACATGTTTCTTGATACATGTACAATAGGGCATCATATTTGACATTTTTTAAAAATGCATGCAATATAACTGCTGGTTATTATTAAAATACAGGGAAGGGATCATGTTATATATAAATTCTGAAACAATAAAGGCATATTTAGTCATAACAACATGAAAATACCATTTGAGTATGAAAAGCCTGCAGTGTGTTACACATGCATTCTGAAGAAAACATAATAATGTGTTTGAGAGTGGAGCCAGGTGCTCAGAAAACTAAACATTCCATTGTATTGGAAATGTACGTGGGCTTCAGGATCAACTGATAAATTCTAATCTGGTTAGTCTAGCATCTGTGATCTTAACCTGACTTGAATTTTCTGTTTTGGTTTGGGTTTGGTTTTGGTTTTTTGCTTCCTGAAGTAATTCCACTTTATTACTCAACAAATGGGAATGCATTGATTTCCCTTTTTAGAAAGATAATTTGTACGATGTCAACTGAACTCTGTGACTGGATTAAACTTACATAATGTGCCTTTCAGAGAGTGACTAATTGGAATTTACTGCAAGTCGCAGATGACTTTTAAATCAATTCTGTGAAGGCTTCATAATAAGACTTACTGATTGGGAGATTAGTACCAGAAAATATGCATACATTATCCAGCTAACACTGAGAGCAAATAGGGCTCCAGAGAACAGCTGTTCCTCCTGCACCCTGAAAGACTGCGCCAGGGACAAGTAAGGAAAGTGGAGTCCCAGTAGGACCTAGACTGAACCACTCTTACAGCTGAGGTTTTATAACAAATGGGAACATTTGAAATAGCACATTATATATAGTATTTCCTTTTTTTTTTTTCCCCTTCAGTCCATATGTATGATGTAGAACCCCTAAACAGATGTCATGCTTTAAAGGCTGTTGTGTTGCTGGGTTTGGCTTTTTAGTGCTTAAATCACTAAAATGTACAGGACTGAGGCTGCTCTGGTTGCATGCTCTACTGAGAAGTTGCTCAGCTGCTGGTTCCAGTCATTCCATTTTCAGTTCACCTCAACCCTGTGAAATCATGTCCTGAAATTCAATCTAAGAATGACAGCTTTGCAGTTTCCTTCCTCATGGAGTCTGCATATTGCTCCCTGCATGTGCAATTGTGATTGCAAATGTTTGTCACACACAATTACTAAAAAAAAATAAAATTAAATCGTAGGAAAGTGGAAAGAAAATTACTTTCCTCTTCAGATTTTCACATCTTTTTAATCCAGTATGCAGCATTATCTTCAGGCAGTATCTTCAGGCAGAGCAAGTTATAAAGATAATTTGTTGGAAAATGAAAGCCTCTGGAGAGGAGACTTTGCAGGCAGGTGGGAGTACAGGAGCCACTGGTGGAGAGCAGGCATTGAATCAAAAGCCAGCCAAAGGTGTAAGAAGAGGAGCAGGACCTGCAGGCTAGAGGCAATAGAGACAGCACAAGGGGCCTGGAGGAGAAGAGTGTCTTGGGAGTGGATAGCTTCTTGCAGGATTTGAGTTAAGCCTCAAGTCCCTGTGACTTCACTTGTTTGCTCTCAGGGATGACTCATCTCTGCAGTGACTAGGGCTGCCTGAGGACAGTGGCTTGCTCTCTCTTACTTCATTATCTCACATACTAAAAAGTTAAAGATCTGGACCTGCCTGATGACCCAAACTGTTGTCAGGAAGTTGTGTACAACAGAAACGTCATTCTTCAGTTTGGTTTTCGAAAGCATTTGGTCTGTGTAAAGCATTACTTTGCGAAGGCAAACACCCAAGTTTAGGCAGTTTACACGTTATAAAATTGTGTCATCTGAAAGCAGTTGTATAAATTTGAATTTTTCAGTTGCTAGCTTTATGGCTTTAACTTTCTTTCGGTCTCTGTTTCTGGTGTACGCTACCATAGAGCATGTAGCCAGGAGAATGGTTGTAAGGGTAGGTGGTGAGCCCAGTACTCCTGTATTTGTAAACAGCAGAAAATGCTTGCACTGAACAACAGGAAGCTGATTTATGTGAAACCGATAAGCAGCCTCTGTTAGAGTACTGTAACACAAAGCAGTGTTAAAATTAAAATTCGTAATTGTATAACTACTTTCCAGATTATAACGCATTTTTATAATTACAACCATGAGACAGGACCTTTCCCTGTTGGGTAGTTTTGCTTACCTTTTTATTGGCATTCTTAGATTTAATTTTCCAGGATCCAGGATCTGTTTCTACTAGCATGACTCTAAAGTGCCATTGAAAATAACTCAGTTCTTCAGAATTAGGAAAAGAGAAGCTGACAATTAAGGACTAAGTATGCCAAAAACCAGATATGTGCTCTACTAGCAATTGAAGGGGAAATTCAGCCTGCTTTACTTTGCTTCTCAGGTAGAATTACACAACATAGTAAGAGTTGATTCTGATAGTAAATTTAATGTTGAAAATCATGGCGTTATTTATTTCCAACAAATTCTATTTTCAAAGAATTAATTTCCAATATGAAGTTTTGGTGACGCATTTTTTCCCTTAAAAAAAATAAGAGGAATTTTGGGTTGCAGAGAAAAGTGTAATGAATTGTTTTTAGAATTCATTACTTATTTCCTGAGCCTGTTGTCACTCAAAGTTGTTTGGAGAGGATGACTCCTCTGGGGCAGGTGTAGGTCCACCTGTTCCATGAGGACTTTCACCTGATGTAGTTCTTGGGAATTAAACCATGAAGTGACTTTAGCTAAAAGGAACGGAAAGAATGAGCACAAAAGCCTGCCTGCTTCGTCCTCCCCTAAGTCCATGGTATTTTCACACTTTGTGTAGATGAAGTGGTCAGTTTTTGTCATCTCTTACTCATCATCTCAGTTTTCTTGATCTCCTATTGCCATGGAGTGTTAATACGCTTGCAAGGATGGACTGAAAAATGCCAGAGGAACATTCACCTGCAGCAGAAAGGAGTGGTTAAAAGCAAGACAGGCAGATTGAAGTAGTCATTGGAAAAGTATTTCTTGATAGGATGGATCAAGCAGCCTCCTACCTGTATTGAAATCAGGAATTGAGTCAGACCCCTGTATGAGCCAGTAATGCCTGACAGCATCCTCCCGTATAATCTGTTGCCAGTGTTTCAATTTCTAGTTCTATTGCAGATTAGTGTTTAGTGAAGCACCAGCCTTGATCCTTAATCTCTGCACCATTACCTTATGCTGAAAGCCAGCAGATCTTTAAAACCTGTCGGGAAGGTACGGGTGGCCACCCAAGGGAACAGAAGGGGGGCTCCCAGTGAGCACTATTCTCAGCTCTATTGGCAGGACTGAGCTAAACTGGAACACTGTGATCCAGCTGCAAAGCACATACCAATTCCACCCAGAAGCTTGTGACAAACTGTGCTTGTCGTCGGTTTCTGACTCAGGAGAGATAAAAATACCTCTGCTGCAGCAGGGAGAGCGGTTGCAGTGCGGCAGCCTGTGCAGAGGGAGGGAGGGCTGCACGCCGGCTGTCTGCACAGGCAGGCGCTGCAAGGAAAGGTGCCCTGGCACCCTACATCTCGGCAGGGTGGTCATCCCCACCGTGTGAAGCTTGGCTGTGGTCAGATCAAGGGTCCGTTTTTGCTGTCTCTGACAAAGACTGCTCACAAATGCTTGGAGAGCACCAGAGGCGAGGGGCAGAGTGGCCGTCGTGGTGACCCTCCCTCCCGGCTGTCGGCGCTCGGCTGGAGGGAGCCGCTTGAGCTGGGCTGCCCTGGTGGGCAGCTCCGGGTGGATGTGACATAGTCTGCCCTGCCCCTTGTGAGCCCCTCGGTTCTGGCTCCTGTGGCAGATAAGTTCAAGGCTTGAACGGTTGTGTGAAATAGTTTGTGTGAGGGCTGGCCAGGAGCAGACTGCCCTGTGCGTGGTTCATCCTCGGTTGCATCCGTCCAAACTCCAGGTTTCGGTCCAGTGGGAGCCTGTGGTCATTCACCTTCTGGTAGGATCTGCAGATTGCTAAAGAGAGGCGGCACCAGCAGTTCGGGGTTCAGGTCTTTGCTAGATGGAGAGCTGGAGTGAACTTGGGTTGACATTTGTGTTCACATCCCTACAAGATGTGAGATCGGTGAGCGTGTTTTCACACGAAAAGCACTGAAAAACGTAATTTTAGGGGAAGAGTGGTGCCCATCAGAGGTCACATTTCCCGCTTCTGGCCGTACCTCCTGGTGCACAGGCCATGTCAGTCAGATGGGGGGTCGGGGAGAGCCGCTTCTCCTGAGGCTGCTGGTCGCGGTTCATGCCGCGGGTGCCTCTCCCGGAGGGGGCCGGGCGGGGCCGGGCGGGGTCGCTCCGCCCGCCTCCCCGGGGCCCCATTGGCTGCGGCCGCCCCGGGGCGGGGCCGCTCCGCTCGGCGCGGGGCCGCGGCGGGCAGCGGGCGGGAGCAGGGCGCGAGGCGTGCGCGTCCCCGCGCCCCCCGAGCCGGCCGCCGCCGATGGAGGGAGCGGCCGCGGGCTGCGCGTCCCCGCCGCCGGCTGCCGCCCGCCCCCGGCCCGCAGGCCGCCCGCCGGCAGCGCCGAGCCCCGCGCCCCGCCGAGCCCGCGCCCTCCATGGCCGCGCCGCCCGCCCCAGCAGCCTAGGCTGCGGCATGGTCCGCGCCGCCCCACCAGCCCGAGTGTGACACAGCCGGGCGCGGGCGGGCCGCCGCCTCCACCGCAGCATGCCGGCCAGGGAGCCCTGGGCAGCGCACCGAGCCGGCGGCAGCGCCGGGCACCGCGCCGGGCACGAGGGCCGGCAGCGCGATCTGCTGCTCGCAGCCTTGGGCATGAAACTGGGCGCTCGCAAGGCGTCTGTGACAATCTGGCAACCTCTTAAACTCTTTGCTTATTCGCAGTTGACGTCGCTCGTCCGAAGAGCAACTCTGAAGGAAAACGAACATGTTCCAAAATACGAGAAGGTTCATAATTTCAAGGTAAGACGTTTTCCTACCTAATTTCTTTTTCAGGCACGGGGACTTCGGCTCGTGTTTTGAAATGGGTCTGGTATTGCAAGGAAATCATAAGTATGCACACTGTGACTTTCTAGGAACTTAAAAGCTGCAAGTAAACCTCATTGCCGGTTAAATCGATTAGGCACGTTTAGAACGTACAGCAGAGGAACTGAGATTTTGTTGTTGGCTGCTTGTGTGCACGCATTTGTTTCGATAATATTTGTTGTATCTAGTTATCTCTTTTCTTTAGAATTGATTTATGCTGAGAGAGATGCTAAAGGTGAGAAAAACAGCAAAGTTTTCTTTCAACTCAAATGTAGTCCAGCTTTACTTTCAATGCCAAAAAAGCTCTTAGATCTATAGTTAGATGATTAAATTGATCTTATCTCAGTTTGTTGATGGTAAATAGCTTTGTAGGTAAGAAGTGTGTTCTGCTGCATCTGGATTGAAGAGATAGTCTGCATTTCCCTTAGTTTCTGGCTTTTCTCCTGTGTCAGTGAATTGAGTGTTGAATCCAGCGAGGCATATACCACGAGGACATGCTGGCATCGGCAACTACCTTGTGTTTTAATAAAATTTACTTAGTCTTCTGTATAGCTTGTAGTTATTCTTTTAATTGCTTTAAATAACTGGTAGGAGAGATACATATCAATACAACATATTTGTGTTTTGTGTCTGTCTGTAATAGGTGTCCAGTAAGGACTCAGTAATGTAACCTTTTAGTGGTCAAATACATTTGATGGTAGGCAGTCTTAATTTTAAGACTACATAAATTGATGTTTTACTGGATTCCTGTAGATGACAGTACAAACTTCATATATATAATTTGAAGGCCAAATGTTCTCTTTAATGTAAAAAAAAACCAAAACCATAAAAACTTACTTTTATTCTTTGAAGAGAAGTGCAGATTGTTAATTTAATACAGGCATCTGGTGATAAAAGCATCCGTTAAATGTCTCCTGTTTTCATTTTTGATTTCCACCACACACATATGTCGGAATGTGGGAAAGTCCACATGCATGCACGTTTATTAATTTACCTATCCTCCATCTGATTTTATTTAAACCACCTTCTAGCTTTTGAGTGCAGATAATCACCAAAAGTGGAAACTTTATATGGTCAGGATATTTTGTTTCATTTGAGTTCTTCCATTAAGCACAAATTTGAAAACCACGTACAAAATGGTATGTAAGAAGTGTTTAATATGAATGCTTGGCATAACGTAATTGTGCTGGCTGACAGTTCAATGCAGAGCATTTTTTCACAGGCTCCTGAGGTGTCCTAAATATCTGCAACGTCTTGCAATTTTCATTTGTTCCTTAGAGTTTGAAGATAATTCTTGCAGATGCCAGCAGATTGTGATTTTCCATGTACTATAGTGTATGTAGCACAATAAGTATTTCATTTTGCACATCTGTGTTCCCTAGTTGCTTTTCTTTAACAGCCTGAAACACATCTGTTTTGAAAATAATCTGATAACCTGATTTTCATTCATTCGGGTTTGTTTATTTCTTTTTCTTTTATAAACTCCTTATGGAAAGTTTCAGAGCTGTGAGTTTTCCAGTCTTTTCCAAAAATAGGCTGTATGTCTGCTCCAAGGTCATAGCCGTGGCACAAACCTTCCACACAGATTGTTTTCTTTATAATAGTTATACTGTAGTTCCTTTATACATACTGTTGCCAGAAAAATATGCCTTGAGAAGTAAGTCAATTCTCAAGTCAGTGGAATGGAGTCACCTTTCACACATGATTTTTGCTATAAAAGAAGGGGACAAGTGCCTTACAGGGTGTACTGCAACCAACCTTCCCACAGAAGGAATGCTGCTGGCGTTCATGAACTCTAAATGTGGGCACGCTCCCATTAGAATAAAAAGTAAAAACATAAGCTCTTAGTAAGTACTATATTATGGCTCTAAAATGAACGGCCATCGTTAGCTCACGTGCTTTTCTCCTTTATAATTTCTTTGCATCTGTCAAATTTTTTTCCTCACGTGTATAGATGTCATCATTTAAAATGTCTGCGTGAATCTCCTAGGTTGCCTGCCAAGTAGCAAATCTGCCACCCGTGTGGGGAGGAAGGAAATGTCAGGTCCAGAGTCTTCAGCCTAGACTTTTGAAGCAAACCAAGAAAAAACAACTCAGAAATTAAATAAATTTATCCAGTTCAGCTAATCAACAATGACTGCTCTCCCCGGGGGCTTCACAGCAAGCCAGAAGGGTGTCTGCTGCTTTGTACCTCTGCAGCTAATCCGCTTTTTGTGCTGCAGGCACGAGGCACCAGATAGGGACCCCTTACCCTCTCCCAGCAGCTTCTTTGATCAGTCACATCACTGCTCACAGAAACGAAGGAGTCTCAAAAATCCTTTTATACTGGAAATGCTGCAGCATCCTAGCAGAGAGTACACAGTGATGTTTTCTTGGAGAAGGGAAGGTGACAGCAGCAGCCACTCCAGAGGCAGGCTGGGGTCTGCAAACATCCCAGAGACCTGACCACAGGCTAGGGCACCTCAGTTCTCTCTAATCCCCTGCACCTCCTGACTCTGTGGGGCGCGTAGGTGGGGACACAGGTTTGAACACTCAGATTCTGTTGCCTGCAGCATAGCTCCAGCAGAGGAACACGGTGGCAGAGGAGCAGTGTAGTGAACCGTCATTACAGGAGTGCAGTGCCTAGAGAAGGAAGGGGTGAACATGAAAGCTGCCTTTAATAATCAAGAGGTCTCCTGAATAAATCCATTAACCTATGTTTTGCTCCAAGGGTTGTTTGAAAGAAGAATGTAAAGACAGTTTTACTAAGAGTGCTGACACGGCAGGGCTTTTGAGAGGATTTGATCTTATTTAAATCTCCTGGAACGTGAGTTGTCTCCTGCCTCAAGGGAGCAGGCTGGGTAGCCAGGGTGACAGGGAGCTCTGCAAGCAGAGGTGGTCAGTAATGATCTCCTGCTCTGTAATATTCTCCTGGCTGTGGAAGTCTAGTCTCTTATGAGCACATCTCAAATGCAAATACAGAGTGCCTGAATTCTCTTAAATTAATCTCCATAGGTAAAGAAAGGGATGATTATTTATAAATGTCAGTTCTGAATGAGTTTTAAATGTTTGTCCTGATGAAGGGATGAAAGCTAGGTGTGAAAAGTATTCTACTTTTAAGCATATTTTTGCCTCTTCCAATTTATTAAAAAAAATAAAATTAATATTTCTGTGTTCTTCTCTATAAATCCAGTATAAAAGACCCATTTTCTAATAATTCAAATGTATCATATTAAAGAGGCTTACATTATTTGATACAGCATTTTATTTAGCTCTAATTGAATAATGGAATTTGATGTGTAACTTGATTGGATCTGTCTTTTTGCATATTTGGGCTACTTTTGCATTCCCTCCATCTACTGTGCTTTTCTGAAATCCAGCACACTGAATGAGATCTCTTGTAAAATGAATCATTAGACCAAATGAGGACAGGCGCTTCACCATCCTCAAAATTTCAGCTGCACCTTTTCTCACAGGAAAGCTTTTCCTTTCTTTCAATTCACTTGCCTATTATGGGGAATAAATCTCCCCGCGGTCTGTGGTACAGACATATCGATATGGACAGGGGGGTGTGTGTGTGATGGATATCAAGCTCATTCTTCTACCCAGTGCAGATGAACAAGAGCATCTTCTGTTTGGAAGCTTTGGGAGACCTGTGCTCTTTGAAGTGCTGACAAGGAGCATAGCTGAAGGCAGTGGGGTTATTTTCTTACAAAATGAATTTAATCATAGGGGAAGGCTCTGTAGCAGAAGAGTTGCAAAGTTCTGTAACTTCATAGAAGTGGACAGAATAGATTCATACCTAATCATTCCCATAAATTTATTCTGCCCCTGGATCCTACCAATAAGAATGCTTTTTACTATCCCTTACAATTCTCATAGTTGCTTATATTGTCCCCAAAAGGCAATAACTGTGATAGCTTGTAAATTAAAATAAAATCTCTTAGCCAGCTGATGTTTAATCTATTCAATAAGTTTAAGGGTAGGAAGCAGCTGGGCACTTCTGGGCAGGCGGATGAAGGAGGAGCTTAAGGCAATAGAGGAACTACCGATCTGAGGGGAAAAGGGGCCTGTGGCAAGGTGCCATGTGGATGGAAAATGAGAGGAGGACCAGGGGAAGCTCTGAGTTGGAAGGTGTGAAGTGAGCTCTAGCCCAAGAGACTTAGCAGGGTAATCAGAGCTGTGTTTTCTCCATCTTCTCTCTCTGGTGAGACAGTTTATTAGGGTAGTGAATGCACAGGATTCCCCTTGCTCAGTCCTCTGCACTTGCCCACTCTTCATCTCCTCATCTCCTCTACATCCCATAGTTTTTTGCTGATAAAAAAGGTACATCTAATGAGGTACCTTCTGCCCCGAGTCCACCCTATCTGACATGAAATATCTTCTGCATCTCCTCACCACCTGGTGCTGTGCTTTGGACTTGGGCACTGACCTCACTCCTTTGCCTGCTGTTTGCGTGGGGCTGGGGAAAGAGATAAAACTATGCTCAAAAAATGCTCATGATAAGGAGGGCAGTTGTGGAAGAGGAGCTGAGATTTATGGGATGATACCTTAAAACAAAGAGGAAGGTGAAAATCTGAGATTAACAGCAAGAAATCTCCTGGGTTGTGAAATTTATTAGTCAGTGCAATAACCTCCTCATCACTTGGCAAATTTAAGATAAGCCTGAACAAAACACCTTAAAGGTCTTCACTCCCCTCCAGCTTCTGTGACTCATGGGCCCTGGGGAAGTTTTAGCTCCCTTGGCTGGTTACAGGCATTCTTTCAGACATCCCTGGCTCCTGCTGATTTGAGCCAGCAGAGCACCCTGCAGGTGTTTTCTTACTGCCGATAGTCCAAGGCACAAACCCACTCTTCTGCCTAGATTAGTGCCATGGTGCTTCACTGAGGCAAGGTGTCTGTGCCTGTCAGGTCTGGACTGAAATCTGTGCTTCCATGTATCATTTTCCCCAGGATAT